GTGTGCTAGGGAAGGTGCTTGAGAAGGAAAAGCAGCCCAGGCAACTGGAAGAGAGCAGTCAGGGAGAGCTATAACCCTGGAAAATGTCTGGGCGATGGGCAGGCTGTGGTAAGGTTTGTATAAAGGGCAGCTGGAAGTTAATAAAGAACAGTTAGGCAACTGGATTCTTCTACCTTTGCATGGAAAACTATCAGTCCTTTACGAGTACCTAAAGATCAGGACTTAACAAAATAAGTCCCTCAAGTATATTTTACAGGAAGAAACTACATCAAGTTTGTCCTGCGTACAGTAGTATGGATACACAGAAAGAGCTCAGGTAATGTACTGACTTTCATCCACGGTGTCTACCAGTTCATGTGCAGTTTAGATATAGCTGTAGTGACACAGCCACATTTCACCAGTATGATCCAAGTCCATTTGCATACAGAAGAGATTGAAAACACCTTGGAAAAGCTGTCACTTTATTTCCTTCTTCAGCAAGACACAACCATGACTCCGGATAAATTGTATGAACTCTTCCATTTTCAGTTGTTTCTCCTTAGAAAAAAATGAGTTCCTTGGTGATAGCCGGCAGCGGGTGAGCCCTAAATGCTCCAGAGCTGGAGCATTGCTGTGACAAAATGCTTCTTCATGGAAGGGGAGGCACGAACCTCAACCAGAGAAGATATTTAACCCTTGAAATCCAAACTCCATTGGCACTAGGTTGTCAGCTGTCCTACTGATACCTATCTGGTAGGATCTAGCAGATCAAGATCTGGCTTTTTTTTACCAGTGTTAAAAGGGCAGCTATTTTCCTAGAGCAGGCACAGTCCAGAAGAGCAGTTTCACTTCAAACCCTCCAGCAATGTCAGGTGAGCAGACCTTAACGATCCCACATAGTTTCTCAACATTTCCCTTACTAATTAGGTGAAATCACCAACCATTAACATTTAAATAGGCCCGCTCCCAAGTGTGACAGGAATTTTCCTACAGCTCAGTATGAGCAGAGCCCTGCCAGCTCTCCCTCAGCCAGACACATTCCCACTTGCAAACGCATAAGTGAAAAGTCAGCGGTACAATGTGTGTTGATGGTAGCCAAGAAAGGACAGGTTAGCTATTGCCTGCCACAAATTGTTTAGCGGAATTCTGCAAACTCTTCAAATTTTAATTAAACTCATAAATCTAATCCAGGCACACATTGTTGTACTAGTATTTCAGCTGACCTTAAAAAACCCCTCCAGCAAGGTAGACACTTGGGAAAAAACATGTGATGATAAACATTACATTGCTTTTACTGTTTTGCCAACAGCGTTATTCCCGAGTTTCCAACAGGTATTTCAAACTGAAATAGCACATCCGGGAATGGGAAACATTCACACCCAGGGGGACTGGTGCACTCCAGTGATACAAACAGGAGGACAAGTAACTCTTTGAGGCCATAAAGATAATTGGGTCTTGTGCCTTCTAGTTCACATGCTTCTGTCAACTGCCCATCTCATCTCTGGGGCTTCAGTCAGCATTAGTAATTGACACTGTAACTAGGCTAACGATTGCAAAGTTTTAATCAAATTTAACAGCTATGTATGATACAACAACGGAGTCCAGTAGTTAAGAAACACTCAATTCTTTCTCCAAAATCCTTTATGAATGCTTTGTCTGAAGTCTTCACTCCTTTAATAATTATTCTGTAGGAATAATAATTCTATAGGAGGCTTAGATCAATGCTGGCACAAAGCAAGTGTCTGGGCTAAGTGCTTCTTGTCTAGTCATGAATGAGACCTTTGGTGCTCCTTGACAAGCATGGGCTAATGTGTTTCCTTCATTGCTATCCTCATGGCAGTCATTTGAGGGGCTAGGTCCCTGGTGACACCAGCAGTAGCTCACCATATTGTGGACATGATTGGAGAACACTAGCCCCTGCTTGGGCAGGGATAGGGAAGTTTTTTTTTTAACTCTGGCACCTGGGGTAGGTGGCAGAGAGGACATAGGGTGAGTGGGCCAAAAATTCCTCTGCTCAAGACCTTCTCATATTATTTTCACTTCTATCAGGGCTAATTCTTTTGATCTCTATATCAGTCTAGGGTTTGGTGCTGAAAAGGTGCTTTTAACACACATTTGTATCTGGATTTAGGTCTGCTTTTAATCGGAGCACAGCCATTCTGCAAGCTCTATGGGCATATCCAGCTGCGAAGGTTGACTTGGATGGTCTGAAATAAACCATCAGAGCACAGGGTTTGTTATTAGTGCCTACAAGCTGAGCATATTAATCTATTTATATCTCATGGAGTCAGTAAAATCATCCAGCTCGGTCTGTGTTTTAGCAGGCATCCTCTTTTGTCATTCTTACTGATGTTTGGGATTGTGCTCTGTTTCCTTGCTCACCATCTCTTTTGTGTTGCTTTTGTCTGGTGTTTTTCTCAGGTCTACAGCTGATCTTTTAAACAGGGCTGTGATAAGAGTGGCTTTTAGGAAGTTTATACTGATATGATTCAGTAAAATATCTCACCTGTGAACTTAAGTAAATCAACACTATTTACTTCAGTTATGTTTTCTATTTCCCCTTTCTAATCATGCACAAGCAGAGTATGTTCCCAAGGCACAGCTGACAGGCACTGCTCATTCCCTGCTTGGCTGCCCACATGCTTTCTCCATCACACATCGCTACCTACTCCTTCTGGCTCCAGCAAAAACCCATGCCTGCCTTTCCATAAGGAATGATCCATAACATACATAGCTCGTACAAAGTCTGTCCAGCTATTGCAGCATGAGAACATTCTACATAAACAAGGGTGAGGAACAGGCCAAAAGGGATGCAAGTGCAGTCACTTTTCTTTCCATGGTAGGTAATGTTGACCTCTGAAAGAGCAAATAAGGGGAAACACAAGTCACAGAACTTATTTTTCTAGGCTGACTAAGCTGCAGCTCTTTCAGCACCTTCCAGGTCAAATAGTGTATATTTCCTCAGTCCTCTTACCCTCTGCTAGTAAATAATTCCAAGCTGATGGGAATGAAGCATGTTTTGGATTCTTCTCTGTTATCTGCATGGATGTGAATGCAGTATTTTCCACAAAGATGCTCCATTAACTAGCCCCAGATGTTAGATGATTCATTATGTTACAGAGCCTCAGCTTAGTGACTGTTATCTCCGCTATTTATATATTTAAATTAATTTCCCAAGTTTACTTCATCTTACTTAATTGTTGCTGCAACAGATCGTAATGAATTGTAGTATTACAAAAATTTATTATTCATCACAATTGTAACGAAAGACACTTATGCATCTAACCCAAAAGTACAAAGTAACTATTTCTTTCCCCAAGAGATTTCTGGATTGAGAAGGAAGATATTTTATTTTCAAAACTGAGAATCAAACTCTACCGCTTGTATTCTTAACTCCAGTGTAGAAACAAAACAGGGAAAAAGGAATTAGTTGGAGCCCACATTGGATAATTGGGAATGTAGTAAGGGCAGCTGCTCCCGTAGTATCTGCCTATCATGAGAAAGTGAAGAGATCACACAAGAGAGGTGCCTGAATGAGTGATAACTCCTCTTGTAACAGTCCCTGAGAAAAACTGTGTGAGGGAGAGCGACTGTATTTATTTTGGCAAAGCTGAGAACAGGATTTGTTTTCTTTTGTGTGTTTTATTCCACTCATGGATCCTGATGCCGGAAAACAATTGAAATGAGCAAAGGAGATAGTAATTACTGTAAGTTTTGTCTGCTACCATTGAGCAGAGTTATCTGGAAATTATAAAGTACTGTAGGTTGCTCCAGGCCATAAATCCTAACCCAAAGCCACGTGCAAAGCCTTGGAAAATTAAAATGCTGCAATTAGGTTTAACCAGCCAAAAAAACCCCAGCTGCTGAGTCACTTTGACTACACAGTACATATTCTTCAACTGTTGAGGAATGTATAGGACTATATTAGAGGAACAATCAATGATTAAAGCACATGTGTAAATGAATTTTGTCAACACTTCAAACAATTTTTAAAATTATGCATAGAACCATAGACTCATTTAGCTTGGAAAAGACTTTTAAGATCATAAAGTCTAACCGTTAATAGAATACTACCAAGTCCACCACTAAACCATGTCCCTAAGTGCCACTTCTATTCAAAATAAAGGACCTCATGTTGAAAATCACTTTTCAATTTATTTTTTTTAGAGAAAAGCTATTTACATGGCTGACATGAGTCCACTCCAAAAGAAGCCATCCTACGTCCCCTGCAAGACTTTTGAAATTACCCTGATCGATGCAAACAGTGATTAAACTCTATTAGGTCAGCAATTGAAAAATACTAAACAAAACAATATGATCATTAATGTCAGTTTATATGGAAAGCTTGTAACTGTTACAATTATTGTCTGAAATAGAGTATTGAATCTCCAAAAAATATGTGAAGCACGTAATATCAGAAATGTGGCTTAAAGTGGGGGAAAAACCCCAACAAACCCACACATCCAACCCCTTCTCTCTAAATTTAATACACATGCCTTTATTTGGCATCTCAGCAGTCAGTAAGAATTGACAGTCATCTTTAATCAAGAAGACTTTATGGCTGCATCTGGCTGGTGAAGAAACCCAAGGGGCAAGCACAAACACCAGCTCACTGCTTATCCATGGTGCTTAACCACTGTCATACTCTGGTACCGCCTTGGTCTATGGCACCCAGTATGGGCCAGGGTTTGGGGGGGGACATGACAGGACAGCGAGAGTAGGATGCCCCACCTAAGTCGTGGTGTGGATGAGACTGTTCCAGGTCTGGATCCCTCCGGATCACACGATCCCCACAACTGCCCAGCAGATTCTGCCCCTGGAACTCACCCATGCACCTTCCATGACCCACCCTGGGGCATACACTGCTCATCCCCGTAGGTCTATGGGGCAAGGGCTACACTGGGTACAGCACCCAGGCTGCATGGTCCCTGCTCCGTCAGCACAGACACAGCCAACACTAATTCTCTGTAAGCTTTTCATGTCTTCCCAGCAAAACAATAAACCAAAATCTGCAAGCAGTACTAATTAGAGACTTGCGCATTCACGAGGGCATAGTATTGTCCTTCCTTTGCCAGTAACTGGCTGTGGGTGCCCTGCTCAACCACCCTGCCATTCTGGATCACTGCGATGATGTCTGCAGTCTGTACGGTTGTCAGGCGGTGAGCAATGACGATGCAGGTTCGACCTTGCCGGGCATTATCCAGAGCTTTCTGGACGATCTGCACAGAGATGTCATGAAAATGCTGTTAGCAGCTGGAAAGCCTTCCCTTGTCATAGGAACCACGTTTGATTTCTTACTCTTTGTTATCAGCTGGATATATCATCTCCCACAGATATACAAGTCAGCGCATACATGGGACCCTTACTTAACAGGGTTTCTCACTGATGTCAGCGAGACTGATCAAACGAGCATGAGACATCGAGAAGTGGGTTCTTGGGCAACCAGCTTGGGGCAGAACACAAATCCAGTATTTATCATCAAATACAGCTAATAGGAAGACAGCTGAAGAGTATCAGCTCCGCATGGTGTTTTCCACTTAAAGTTTTGGGGTTTTCTACTTGTTTATTTAAGTAGATATGCACAGCTTCCCAGTGTCATTCAATTCACAGCCTGTAGCTGGAAAAGCTACCATGATACACCTGCCCTGTTGTTTCACAGCTATGCATTTACAACAGCTTCACATCGATTTTATTCTGCAGAAAGCAACTAGCCAAGTATATCGCCATATATATTTCATCTAATAATCATTACTCACCTTTTCACTTTCTGTGTCAAGAGCAGAGGTAGCTTCATCCAGAAGCAGAATGGCAGGATTCCGAACCAGAGCACGGGCAATTGCTATTCTTTGCTTTTGACCTCCGGAAAGTTGCGTCCCTTTCTCACCCACCCGCGTATTATATTTCTGGATGTTAAAAATTATAAAAGAAGGCCTGTGAATACTCTTAGAGAAGGAATATTAGAAAAGTAAAGTTTTATGCACGACTACAAAAATGATTAAGTATTTACATCCTGAAAGAAAAGAATAGTGCAAGTTGTTTCAATAAAGCTAAGGTTTTATAAACACCTCTAGTATAAACTGTTATGTATACAGCCACAAATATTTAATATCTGGTCTGAAAATTTGCTTCCCCAAGGACTGGGATAGGTCTTGAATGGTACCACCAGTGATACAGCAATAAGGTGGCCACACACATCTGCCCACGAGCATATGGTCGTAATAGTAGCTAGAGATTTAAGGCTTACTGAGATATAAATGAAGAACTTGATCCTGTGTTACTTGTGAATAAAGAATCACAAGGGTCATTAATAGTAATGAAGATGAAATATTTGTCACCATTATTACATCATTTTCAACATAATGCAATGTTTCAACACAGAGCCACAGTGAAAACAAACTATCAAAGCATTTTTCCTTGTTACAACCAAATTCTTGGCAGGCATGAAGGTCAAATGCCATGTCATTCACTTTTGATTTATTGCCCCTTCATATTTGTTAAGAAACACTCCCTGTCCATGCCCATCCAATTAGAAATAGAACATTTAGCTTTACTGAATTATTTTAGAGAAAAAAAAAATCGTGTTTCTCAGAGTAAGTTGAGAAGTTTCAGCTGTCAAAGGAAAAAATATCAAAAAACTTATGGACTTATTTGTACATAGAGTGTCCTTTTATTTTTCCCTCTTCATTTTCTGCTTTGTTTACCACTATATTAATTGGAGCATTGGCTTTTTTTGAACAAACTAAGAAGGAATTTAAGCTTGAAACACACTGACATTTTTAGCCATAAATTCTATACTTTTTCCTATTAATGGAAAAAAAAACGTTTGTTTTTAATTTGATCTGTGTACATGAGCATTACCTAGATTTCTCCATATCATTCCAAATATCTAATCTCACCGTGAAGAGAAGATGACTATTTCTTACCTCTGGCAGTCTTTCAATGAAGGTATGAATATTTGCTGCTTTAGCTGCATCTTCAATTTCCTCCTGACTAACCACCCTACCGTTGTCTCCATATCGAATATTTTCGGCAATGCTGCAGTCAAACAAAACGGGCTCCTGTGACACCAGGCCCAGTCTGGACCTCATCCATTGTAAATGCAAAGATCTGGTATCAAATCCATCCACTAACTAGAAAAAGCAACAGAAAAATGATGCCAAGTTGAGTACAGAGCTTATCCACAGATACACACCAAACAGGAAACACGAATTGTAAGAGGAAGCCTGTTACATGTTAAATTCCCAGCTGAAATCAACTACACTTTGCATGCAAAATGAAAAAGAACCAGCAGTATAGATGAAATATTTCCTTTCATTAGTTTTTAATTTTGTGTGTGTTTTTCCTTCCATTTCCCAGCAGACAGAAACAGAGTGCAGATCACAGGCTGCTCCTGCAGTCCTTCCAGCCCTGACCACAAAGAGAACGGGAAACCTCATGGGCAAGCCTGTCCCTAAGGAGCTGAACACACAACAAATATTCTCAGCAGTAGGCCTTTAACTCAATCTCAAAACCACCAAGAAGAATTCTTTGGAATTTCTGTACCTGCTGATGGGAATTGCATCAAAAAGCCCATCTCAACCTTCTGACGGTGACACAGTAGCAACCCTGTGGGATTCCATCTGTGTCATCTGAAGCATGTATTTATGTCCCTAATGTGTGTATTCATGTCGGTGAGATGACTTACACACTGACAAGCAAGCGACATGAATGTTATGCCCCTATGTGACCAGGCTGTGAGCAGGGTTGGGGAGGCAATGCGGTCTGACACGGTCATTCTCCTCCCTGGTGAGATCTGAGCCAGCATGGGTGCCAGTGCTCGTATGTGTGGTGAACAGGGCACAGGACAGGAAACAGCAGTGGTCTTGAGGTTGTCTACAGCTCCACTGGAGCCACCACCTCAGTAACCCACACCTGTAACAGAGGCATCCCGCCAGAGATATCACCAGTATTGTTCAAAGCCTCTGAAACATTGGAAGATAAAGAGTCCTGTAGATTTATTTGTTATTAATAGCTACACAAGTCTATTTTTACCACTTGTCCTTCCACAGGGTCGTAAAATCTCTCCAAGAGCTGAATGGTTGTGCTTTTGCCACAGCCGCTGCTTCCTACTAACGCCAGAGTCTGCCCTTTGTTAACCTTCACGTTGAGTCCTCGCAAAACTTGAACTTCTGGCCTTGTAGGATATACGAAATGGATGTTTCTGAATTCAACGTTGCCTTCAAATTTGCTCTGAAAGGTAACAGAGTTCACACGCTCATATTAGCATTTTTTAGCTTTATCTATAATAACACTTGTAAGACTTGGTCATTAAAGTGAGAGAACTGACAAGAAAGTTTGGGAGGGTGTTTTCAAAACTGCTTTTGAAGTTCTTCTTTTAAATTATGTATTGGATTGAGTGTAGTATCATTATTTATTGGATGATCGGCAGATCTACATCACTAGATCCTTCTGAAGAAACAGTTTTCTGCACCTCTTGTATCTATTTTTCACTTCACCTTTGAAATGAGTATCTTTAGACAAATAAACAATGCTATTTTTTGCAGAATAATAGAATGGTTTGGGTTGGAAGGGACCTTAAAGACCATATAGTCCAACCCCCCTACCCTGGGCAGGGCCACCTCCCACCAGACCAGGTTGCTCCCAGCCCCATCCAGCCTGGCCTTGAGCACTGCCAGGGAGGGGGCAGTCACAGCTTCTCTGGGCAACCCGTGCCAGCGCCTCACCGCCCTCACAGGGAAGAACTTCTTGCATACATCTAATCTAAGTCTACCTTGTTTCAGTTTGAAACCCTTTAATTTCTGACGTATCAACTGAGGCACCTCTACTCTTGATATAACCTGTAGCATTTGCTTTCCTGATCTCACACTGCAGATAGCACAAGTTGAATAAACATAATACGAGGTCAAGATCGGCTATAAAGATAGCAGAGCTAAATTCTTCACTAGGTAATTTACAGGCATGTAGGACAAGCTGTGTTTTAAAAAGCAATGGTAGTGGTTAATTAGCTGTTCCAGCCAGGCCGATTTCTAAGCACAAGTGGAAGAAAGGGGGCACACATTAAAGCTGTTGCCTCTCCTGTTCGGGGTAGGAGCCAGCCCTATGTACATACTAGAAGCACCGCTAGTACAGTGCTCTCACAGCAGCTGATGATCTAATTTAATGGGCTCAAAGTTTTGCTTTGCTGAAGTCACAGGCATCACTGGTATTTGAGTCCAGTCTATATTAGAAATATTTTAATTTAAGTTTTATTTTACCAGGGACCTTCTGCCAAAACTTCCATCATCTGTGCCAGAGGACCCTGGTTTGAGAAGATACGTAAGCATGCTCATAACTTTAAAGGCTGAAAACCCTGCGTATAAGCTTAAAGTTATAGAAACTGGATTACAGCTTCCTGAGTAGGAAGTAGTACCATCTAAAATCTACACGGTAAGTTCATTTTTAAACTTAGATGGATGTGCAAATGTCATCCTTCTAGATCATGTAAACTGAAAGCATTTAATGCAGAAATTTGACAAGCGTTGAGGTCAGCTTCCTTTATGACAATTTTGGTTTAGAAGTAAGATTTGGGGATTTTTTGTTTTCTTTTCCTTGTTCTTTTTTTCTTATTGATCCCCCCATCCCCCAACTTTAGAGCAAAACGGATTATCCATTAAGGTAGTTTTGACTTCACAAGAGCACATTTTTACTTGTAAGAGTTTGCACAGTTGTAAGAAGATGGATTTTGGCAAAACTGTTCTGTCTCCGAAGGGACTAGTCTCTCTTATCTACCTAAACAGTAGAAAAATGCACTTGTATTTTGTTTCTTTTGTAAACCCTTACAAAGGCAATGCAACTGTGAGTGCAGTGTCTTCCTGAAACCATTTAAGATGTGGGTCAGTAGAATAAAAAGTAGTTGCGTTTTTTTTTTTTTAGCTCGTTCAGAGCAAAACCACATTTAAGGGTATACACTTCTGACTGAAAAGAAAAACAATATGGTCCATTAAAAATAACAAGGCAGTATCACTATTCTATATAACATCTCCCTTTTGTGACACTCTAAAAAACCCCAACAACTATGAATACTTTCCTGATCTCACACTGCAGATAGCACAAGTTGAATAAACATAATACGAGGTCAAGATCGGCTATAAAGATAGCAGAGCTAAATTCTTCACTAGGTTTAAGTTTAAGGTTTAAGACAATAAAACATCAGTAATTTAGTTTGTTTTAAGGTTTTTCTGAAAAAAAAGAAAAAGAAAAAAGAAAAAAAGAAACCTTACCAATTTTTCACCTTCTTCACTATAACTGTCAACTAGAGGTTTTCTGTCCAAAAGCTGGAGGATTCTTTGAGCTGATATTTTAGCTTTGCCATAATCTGGTGCCAGGGAAGCAGACTGACCAACATTCATAGCTGCAAATATGACTGAAGAGAAGACTCTAAAGAACAAGAGACAAAGCACCATTCATTTCAGGTAGAACAACATGCAAAACAAACCTTCACAATAAAGGTTTTTAGGATCTTTAGATTACGACGTTTCTGGAGCTCCTCACCCCCCCAAACGTCATCCAGTATTAGAAAGTTCTATTTGTTCCTATAACTACCTTACAGATGAGCAGCAGTGTCACATCACTTTTCTATGCAGTACCCTCTGCCTGGAAGGAACGTCAAACAGCACAGGCTTCCCCAGAGTCGGTGTGCTGAACACAGCCACCCGCTTGCTGCTTCACTGCTCCAACACGCGCCTTTCCCCAAAACAGCCGTTCTGCTCAAACTGCACTCCCAACCAGGCTGAGTTCCTGAATCTCTGTGTCCCATGACCTCTGTTACATGGTGAAATTATTGGCATGCATTGAAATCGTTATCCCGTGTATCAATTTGTATTTATTTCTTTTTACATTTTATAAAGTATACTCACATAAATACATTTTCAAAGTTGCTCAGACAATGGGCAATGAGCCATGCTCCAAATCTGAAGACTGCTGCGTTAATAAAGTAGTTTGCACACTGGGCTACTCCGTAGGTAAATCCATAGAAAGGGGCTTTTGTCAGAGAATCTCTGATAAAGGAAGAGACTTTCCATAAGTAACTTGTAAAACAGAAACAAGAGACACTGGCTGGGGGATGGCCAGGTTTCCACGCTAAAGCTTTCAGGCAATCCAGCTCATCCCCTGAAAACACAATGAATCAGCCCAGAACACATGCACAGTCACAAACAACCCCTGCCAGACCCTAAAAGCACCCCGCATCATGACATGGAACTGCCCTTAGGACAGAAAGCAGTGAGGTCCTTCATCCTCAGTTACACTATTATCTTGAATCTCTTCCTTTGCTTTTCTATAGCAGGGCAGGTCACCAGAGCAGCTAAAAAAAAAAAATAATTAATAACTACCACATATGACCCATTTTATTAAGAAAACAAGCAGGCTCCAGCCCAGGCAAAGAGCTGCCTGTGGGCTTCCCCCAGGTCTTCCCATCTGAGCAAAGACCTCTCATTCCGATTCAGAGCAGGGACATATTGCTGTGTATCCCCGCAGGGATTCAGCCTAAGCCTCTATTTCTCAATCCGTCCTTCTGGAGAAGTTTCATTTTGCGTAGCTAATTGAATGCACACTGAATCAGAGTCTGGAGGACTCTCTGCCTCATGGTTTAGGATGCTCTCTGAGAAAATGGAAATCTCTTTTCTAGTCTGAGCTGTAGATCGGAGACCTTTGACAGTCCAGGCGAGCATCCTGGGGAATTACCAGTTCACCAGACACTGAATTTTAACACTGTTTTGTCTGAGGACAGATTATATAGAGCATCATTTTCAACCCCTTTCCCATTAGCTGCCTTGAAAGAGGAAAAAAAAGAAATTATATTTGGGGCTACTTTGTTTAAATAAAACGGAGCTAGAGAAATCTGGCATCCCTGATGAATTGAATGTGTTTTCAGTGGAGACAAGTCAGTGGGACGTAGCGGGTCAAACAAGTGAAACATATGAAGTTCATTTCAAGGTTTCAAAGTCATATGAGGGGAATAAAACTGGTTTATGTTATAAAGGGTGTGGTATGGGAGTTAACTGTCAGTTCCTGAGTTAACAAGTATCAGTGCAATGTGCTGGCGTGAACATATGTCCTGTATTCTAGGCACACACAATATTCTGTAACACATATGCAGAGAATGCAGTTCATAAAGTGTTTGCATAATGAAAAGGCAAATCCAGCAAATGTTTTTTCACTCTGCATTTAAGAAAGTATATTAAATATACCAGGTGAACAAATTTCAAAACTATGTGAACGGCTATTGATATCCTTTGTAATCTCTTGGGTATTGGATAGTTTGCAAGAAATGTATTTACAATACACCTGAAAGACTAAAATGAACAGAGAAAGAATTAAAGAAAAAAATCCCACCTATATGGACCCTTCAAACTAGTAACGTATCTTTCATAAAATGCTTCTTCCCTGGTCAGCGAAGCTACCGTTCTTATGCTTTCAACTGATTCTGTTGAAATCTAAATTGGGAGATAAAACAAGTAAGAGGTAATTCATTACAACTGTAATCTACAACATATCTCCTAAACACTCGATCTCTTCTCTAGCATTTATTATTTTAGATCAGAAAATGCTTGCCTAAGAGAGGAGATGAGAGTCTATTGCACAAAGCAACAAGATTATTCACCCCACAGTCACAAGACAAGAGGGGATTGAAGCCAACAGCGTATTTGAGTTCAGAACCTTGGGACAGCATGTAGAAAGCATCAGCAGCCCCTGCCCTAACCCGTGTGTTGTGATCCTGATGAATTAAACCCTATTTAATAAAACAGGAACAAACCCCAGTCACAGAATCATAGAACAGTTTTGGCTGGAAGAGCCCTTCAAGATCATCGAGTCCACCCTTTGTCCTAGCTCTATCAACAGCACTAAACCATGTCCCTAAGTACAACACCTACCCGTCTCTTAAACACCTCCAGGGATGGCGACTCCACCACCTCCCTGGGCAGCCTGTTCCAATGCCTGACAATCCTTCCAGTAAAGAAATTCTTCCTGTGTCATCTGGACACAGCTTGCACTTTTGCATGGACTACATCTGTCTCCTGGAAGAGTGCTACCAGGTGAATGAAGGCAGTGCCCTGAAACTCTTGAGCACACTAATAGTTCGCATTTTGTGATGGAATAAAAAAGTAGCAATGTCAGGGCTTGGTGGCTCAGCCCTGCAACGTTTCTGGCTGCAGAGCAGTGCAGATCTATGCTGCTCGCCTGAGGCATGAGATGCACCAGTGCCGAGGCTGCTGCTCTTACAGCTGTCCCTGCCCAAAAATCTGCTATGGAGGCTTTCAAATGCATTTTAATAGCCTAATTTACAGATGGTTTGTGTTATCGATGTTTTGCTTTTCTTGGGGATATATAAACATTCCCTTCATCCCTCACCCTGTCCTGTTCTCTCCTGTCCCCCCTTCATTTACCTTGGATAATTGATTCGGCTGTAATATAGCTGCAATGCTGTCCTTAAAAGTGATCTCACACCATGACCCTGTACTTAAAATTGGAGAACTTACTCTTCCAGCCTCTTCCAAAGCTTTTTGATCTTTTGCGGCATGACCAGACACAGAGCTAACACTCGCAGCATTTGTAGCAATAACGAAAGGAATGCAGGCCAGGATAAGCAACGTTAGCTGCCAGCCGTATACAAAAGCAATAATGACGGCAGTCAGAAGGGTAAAGACAGTCATAGTCATCAGTCCAAGTCGGCTTCCAGTTGCCTAAGAAAACCCCAGAAACCCCCCAAAATCCATCATTAGATTTTCTGTTTGTTACTTACATCGCCACTCCAAATTGCTATAGAGTCAAGGGCAGAGGTTCAGCTGGAAAACAAAACCATTCGTGGTCACGTGCGTGGACATTATGCACCTACTTATGTAACTGTTCCTAGATGTTCCTCGTACCTGCCAGCATTCAGGCCTTCAAGCGAAGTTAAAGTAGTCTGAACAGTTGGTCATGACATTTGTTTAAAGAAATGCCTATCTGGGACTTCCCGCACTGCCTGAGGCACAGAAGACTGTGGCCACTGTCACAGTAGGGCAGGCTGGTGATTGGGTCCCCAGCATTAGGCAAGAGGGGCTTTGTTCTAACGACAGCCCTTCATTGACCCATCCCGTTAATAGTGGTGGAAACTACTCATCCTCAGGTTCTCACACTGCTGCACCTGGGGTTGGGTTCTCAGAAAAAAAAAATAAATCTGGATTTGGCCACGCTGCAGAAATGTTTTATCTTAGTGGGATAATGAGTGGGAAAGATGAACTCATACTGAAGAACTCCTGTCTCCTCCCAGTCTGTGTAGCCTTTTCATCAAGAACTTTTAAAATGAGAGATGATTAGTATCCAGCATCCGGGTGGGCTCTGATCTGCAGAAAAAAGGTCTGAAAACAGCCCTGTGGAAATAGTTCATCTTCCAAAATTTGGCTTGATGGAAAAAACAAAAATCCTTGGGCGGGAAGCAAAAATTCTTCTTTCTTTTGCCAAAGACTTTCCTGCCCTTAAAAGACTTTTCTTGTTCAATAAAATTTAAAATAGTAATAATTAAACCAATGCCAAGGTGAATTGTTGCCATATGTTCTAGGGGCTGCACATAAAGATGGATTTGGAAACATCAGCCAGCACAGCGTGAGGCACAGTACGTACTTACTGACAATCTGTAGCGCTCCAGAGAGCACAACAGCTTTGGAGACTAATTCATGCCCTTAGTTGGCTTTTGTAGTTAGGGGACCCTGTGTACCCCTCCTGTCTACTGTCCTGACAGGGTGATACAGTTCAATGACAGTGAAGCAAACTAGAACTTTAAAAGATGAAAGTGATTAGAAGGAAATTGTGAAATTTCTAGATGAAATGACTAGAAAATTGTCAAAGACTATTTTCTCACTACAAACCCATAAGGAAGGAGGACAGGAGGGAGAAACAAAAGTCTACAGAGACCGAAAAATGTAGGGATTAAAGGGTTTTTGATGTACAAATCTGAAACAAAAAAAAGACATCTTAAAACGAACCAGTGAACTTCTTCCCCACAAGCCCTGCAGTGACTTTTTTTTTTTATTTCAAGGAGAAGGGAAGAAACAGAGACATTTGGCAGATTGTCAGGGATTGTTGATGAGGTGAACGGTAGTAGGAATTGTGCAGAATTTGCCATATTCTCCCACCAGTGTCCAGTGGCCACCTCTCCCATACCAGTGCCTTGAGTCATTCCCTCCCTTGACCATTGCCCTCCCTGGTGTTATTTATCAATGCCAGGCCATTTCTTACTGTTTGGTCTGCTTGTATACGAAGCTCATTTGGTGGGGATGGGAAGAAGAATTCTCTTCATTAGGGTCAGTAAGGCTTTGTATCACCTGCAGATGCAACCTCTTCATGGCACTCAGGTGACCCCATCATAGTGTGTAAAAACCTGGGATCCACTGATTCTGGTCCCCAGGACATATGCAGATTTCACTTTGCATGGTGAAGTGGTCTACAGTTGTTATATACTTAGCTTAAACACTTACAGAGAGGGGAATGAAAGGTACGGGAATATCTGCTGGATTTTTGATAGTTCTTATAAGTTATCAGCGGAGAAGCCATTTCCAAGGTGTCAACAGCAAGCTATGTAAATACATCTGCCAGTCTGCAGGGTAGATTCACTACCTTGTGTTCTGAAATAATCACAGTGTCCCTTGCCAATTGCAATTAATATTTGCAAGGAAAAAAATATTTAAAAAGCACACAAATAAGAATCAGCATACCCCTTTGACTTGGGAAGCATCTGTAGCAAGCCGAGTCAGCAGAACACCAACAGCATTTTTCTGGTCATCATACCACCCAACCTCCTGTAACAAAAGACACCAATTTTTGTTTCAAAAAATTACGTGTTCTTACCATATTTCAGATTTATCAGGATTACTAATAAAATGAACAAACATTTCGAGCTCAGATAGCTTGTGGGGAAATGGAAGTACAAGTCATGATGGCTGACTGCAATATTCTTCCTCTTGTAGTCAGCATCTTCCAAGTAAACTAAAAGCAAAAGCTTAAAACATATTATTCTGTTGTGAACATCTAATTCTTCACAATCAGTATTATTAGCTGTGACGTTCTTCTGAACGTGCCTATTTAGAAACTTTTAGAATAAACCCCTTTTACTCAGTCCTTCCTTGGGCCTGAAGAGGTTAACTATTCTCTTCTTATGAGTTACCTATTCCACTAACTATAGTAGAGCAATTGCTCACCTATGTTTGCATACACAGAAAGGAAATGAGGCCTTTTTACCTCCAAAGGCTATGGCAGGGTTTTTTTTTGTAATCATTAGTTTTCCCTCTCCTAGTTCCTTTCAGATGTCTCTATGAACACCCAGGTTCTTGTCCCCAATGGGTGTGTGGGATGCAGAGTTATGATTCTCAAAACTTCTATGCAAGTAGCATGAAATTGCACAAATTAGTAGGATGGGTTTAATGTAAGTAACTTTATTCTTATCATGGGCAATTCTTGATGCAATAGGGCAATTTGGTTTTTTTTGCGGTGACAAATTATCAGATTGTCTGTTTGCTATGGATTGGAGCATGTAGATTTAAATCTAAGAAACTAAACAGACTAGACTTAAATCTATATATTACATACTTGCATCATGACCCCCCAAGCAAGGGGAGATTAAACTTTTTTGGTCACCCTTGCGCACCCAGGCAGCTGCAAACTGTGTGTATATTGGCATGCCAGAAATATGCACATTTTCGATGACAATCCTTCAAAATTAGACTATTTGCAGTAGCAGCACTGAGCCAAATTGTGCATGGCTTAGGAGATTTTCAGAAAAGTTGTACTTTTTCCTAAGATAGTGGTAGAAGAGACATGGTTTTGTTTTCTTTTCTCCAGACCACACAATTAAACCCCAATGTGTACCTTGTAACAGTCTGCAAAAGCCATCCGGCTCTCATGATACCCTAGCTGCACAACTCATACCTGCTGAAGTAATGCTCTGAAGGACAAAGAGCGCAGTCTCATCGTTAGTATTTCCCCAGACTTCCCAAACATGAATCCCTGGGGGAGGAAAGAGTCACATTTTCTCATCTGATGCTTTAACTCTGTTTGTAAAGCCACACAACAAAAGCAAATGACAGCAAACAGCCTTCTACAATCCCCTGGGCATACAGAAATCTTGGGAAAAGATTCTTCCTGGAACATGAAACTCTATTTTCATGCAGAAAGGAAGCAACATGGCAAAGAAGGCAGGGGCTTCATTGTAACGCCTTATTTGTACACCCCAGGAGCACTAGAAGATAACTCTGCCTACTAGTTGTTGGCCTCCCTACTCTGACTGCTACCAGAGACGTTGACTTAGAGCAGTTGTACCAATGGATCTTATGATATGGACATCAATGTGCAGTAACTGTTTCCTGCAAGCTGTGGAGCAGTCTAAGAAGATAGCAAACGATTGAGTTTGCTTGATGGTACGAAAAACATCATCTGCTATGGAAAGAGCCTATTTTATACTTACTTTGGCAAGAGCCTATAGACTGTCAATGAGAAATGTCAGTCTTTGACTTTTAAGGCCAGACCCTCAACTTTGATTTCAATCATGCTGAATGAACATTGTCTTCAGTGGCTTATTTAAACCAACAGCAAAGATGGACGTGTGTCTTTAAGGAAACACTTCCATAAAACCCACATGTCTCGGGAAGAGTCCTGGCGCTTCTGTTTATTTTTGTAAGCTCTGATTGGCACTTTTCTTCTCAGACTGCATTGATATTAGTTATACCTGCAGCTGCTGGGGAGTTAAGAACTTCTAACATTTCAGTGTAGTGACACTTACTTGGACTATGTGTGCTGCTAAGGTAATCACTCCAAGTAAAAGAAACATTAAAGAAAGCACCAAAGTGTTTTTATTCCTCTTTTCTGGATCTGTTTCTTGAAAAGCCTATGCAAGAAAAAACACAAAAATGAGTATGTAGACAATGAGTGCCAGTTACATAAACCAGCCTCCACCTCAAGAAGCTTGTCTACTTCAATTTCTCTTAGCAAATATCCTGGATCCTGAAGTCAGTCTGTAGTCAAGTTTCTGTTGAGGGCCAGAAGACAGTTCAGCTTTCCACTTAACCTACATCTCACTAATTTTTGCCCCCAGCTCCAGCTACTCTTCCTCCTTTCCTCTGCTAGTCAGACACAGTTCCACCAGGCTCTGCCTCTAGAGGGTCACTTCAATATTTATCCATTTTTCGTTGGATCTCTTTGTACAAGTGAATCTCACCCAGAGTCTTACATAGGGAGAAGAGGATGAACATGAGGGTGGACGCTCAGGACTGGAACATCCATTTGCCAAAAAAAAAAAAAAAAAAAATCTTACCCCAATGATTTTTCCAAATATAACAGCAAATGCAGGATGGACCCCACCTGAGATGGCAGCAGCAATCACTCCCAGCAGTACATACAGCCACTCAGGTTTGTTCAGAGCCAGGATTCTTGAGTAAGGCACAGCAGGGAGGTTTTCTTCCTACAGGAAAGGGAAAGCTGCAGGTTTTCCATGGAAAGTTGCAGAACATGAAATTCCCCAGACAGCGGCTGTTCATTAGGCTTTGACTAGTGAACTCTCTTGGTAAACCACTGAAAGCCCTCTCTGTGCACTCGGAGTGAGCAAACGTGCTGGATATCTGCAGCTTTGCTGTCTCATATCCTAGAACTTCAACTGCACTGTAAAAGTTTGGAGGCAAAACAACTTCACAAAAGGCTAAGTCATGAGGGGAGAAGGGCCAGGACAGTTCATTGAAAGTCAGATAGGACTGGTCACCATGAATGGCAACTCACACTTGAAGCTTTATAAAGAACTAAAAGTCTCACTGTTCAGAGCACAGAAAAGATCCCTCCGGTTCAGCTAAATGCTAGTGGGCTGGCAGTAACACAACTGGGTAGAGAGGTCATCTTTCACTTTTGCAAACGGCAGCCTATGCATCATTACCAATAACATGAGAGAGGCATATGTAACAGTCAGTTAGCCTGCAACTCCTTTGAAAGTACAAAAAATGCCCTTGTTCTGCTTTACTAATTTATTCAAGTGCCTATGCCTCCACAGGGGGAGTTTTGGTACAGCAAAAAATGAAAACATTGGAAATGAGACAAAATATTAGGCAAGATTACGAGTGGGTTGCTCTTGCTTCCTGGTCACTTTATCCCATGTTTTGGATGCTGAATGAGGGTGGCTAAGGCTCAACCATAAAGATGGGTTGAGCTTTCTGAAATAGTTACAAGCGCTGGATGCTTGATGTCTTAATTTTTTTGTGAATGTGGGGAATACTGAAGTCTTGAGCATGAACACCCACTACGTCCTCTGAGGTCTTAAGCAGTATTAATATACAGACAAAAAGTATCTTTTGAAGTTGCGCAACTTTTTTTGTGATAATAGGAATGGATCCAGGTCCTTTGTACTATTTGAAATATGTATTAGCTGGAAACTATATTTTAGTGAGAAGAAATATCGATGGGTACAAATTACACTAATGTTTCCATAAGTATTTTAAATAATCAGATTACAGATGAGATCCTAACTTACATAGATTTAGAAGGTTCCATGGTTTTACTAGAGAATTTATATTTTATTTCTTTACTTCAAGGGTCCTGAAATCAGGTTAAGAAACCCAAAAAACCCCCAAACCCGCCGAACAACTCTTCCAATATATTTAATGCAAAAATTTGCTGTAATTCAAGCAGTGCAAAATAGAAAAAAACAAAATCAGGTTTCTATTGAGCTGCCTACCAAAAGTCCACTAGAAATCTGCTCCTATTGATTGCCATGAGCAAGTTTTACTTAACCTTGACAAAGTTCTGTTTCTGAAACCTGAACTTCCTATATGACTTTTATTTTGATATGACATTTGTCAAGTGAAGTGTTTTATCTGAATCAAAACCTCAGAACTGTGTGTTTTAACACATATACTAAGACAGAGAGAAAGAATAATGGTTCTTTCATTTAGAATACACTGCAAAATGTTAGGATTTAGATTTCTTTTTTTGTTTGACATAAGTGTAATATGATATTCCTAATGTCTTTAAAATTTTGTGTGTGTGTGTGTGTGTGTGCGTGCACGTGTGTATCTCTCTCTCTCTCTCTCTCTCTCCCCCTCCCTCCCCAGGGATTATATTATCCACCACTATTTGCAACAACGAGTACCAGCAAGCAGAGAATCCTGCAAATGAAATGCCACAACTCATTTTAATTAGATAGAATGAAAACATCAGTTACACTGAAATAATACACTTAATTTTATGAAGCATGACAAATCAACAGCACAGGTTCCACAGTAAGTAAATAGTGTTAAAATGAAGTTTTTTGGTAAGATGTACACGATTGACCCCATATTCCTAGGACAAATACTCAGCCTGGTGAGTACTGACTGTAATAGCACCAGAGTAAAGGTTGCATGGCAGCCAGCTGCCTAAAATAATTAAAATTATGTGCTTTGTGTTTATGCCTACATGCTGTCATTAAAATTACAAACTAAAGTTTTAATACCAACCTCCAGCTCT